ATTATACTTACATAAATTAAAATTATCCATATTTTATGTATGCATACAATAAAATCTAACAGAGTCAGCTATTAAAAGCCTGGTGTAGCAGAATACTGCATATGTATAACTAAGAGACAGAGAGAGAGGAGCATCAAATAAGAGCTGGTTTAAGTTTGCCAAAAGTTTCAAAAAATTTCAAATAAAAAATGCCATTTCCACAATATATATTTTAATATATATAGTATGTAAATATTTGGGACACAGAGCACCAACGGAATTTATTCATGACTCAAAACTCTGCTTCCTGTAAGACACACAACCTTTCCCCTCCGTGACTGTTCACCTCAGCCATTAATTGTAACTCTGAAGGCTGCACAAATACATTTTGAAAATCTAAGGATGATACTGATTAATCTATCATGCCAGTAATGTTGCATCTTCACAGTATTTCAGGTTAATTGTGTTATACCTTGCATATGCTATCTGTCCTTAACCATACCATACTTTTTCAGGTAATGTGTTAGCATGTCTTTTAAAGTAGTTTCCCATGCTTTTCCATCACAGTATTAATCCTACTGGTTAACATTTTCCCTATAATTTTTTTTCCCAATGACATGAAAAAGAATGAAAAACAAATATGTACTACAATCTACCTCGAGTTTAATTTCTTTTTCTTTTTGTGTTTTCTATTTGCTAGGTAGCATTGTCACTGTTCTCTCACAGGAATTACAGGACATTTTCCCACAGTTCCTCCTGGAAGAGGAGAATGCCTGGAAGAGGCATTCAAAATATTGGCACACCTACCTTATTCCTTATTTTAGGCCTCTGAATGTTTCCTATCAGAATGATCATCAACACTTCACCTACTTCAGCAGATCCACCTCTGTAAATGAGCTTAATGAGAAACTCCTCACCCTGCTTGAGCTAATAGAAGTGACCACAAGGTAGTGCACTGTAGGGTGGGTGTCCTCTCTGCAGTGCCAAAGCTGTATGGTCTGAAATGCTCTGCTGGCCCTATCCCCTATAAAACTTCTTGATCTCAATTTCAAAACCAGCTGAAACAATAAAAACAGGTGTTTTCTGCTCCCGAAATACTTTAATTTTAAAACGAATGACACAAACAAGGAAGATGCAGAAACTACGGATGCTTTTCATCAGGCATACAAAATGTCACATTTTGTTGTAAAGTCTTCCATTTTAACAATGAAAGATGAAAACATAGCATAATTTATTCACTTTTTTAAATGGTTGAAGTGTATTGATAAAAGTCTATCCTTCTTCTCTTCACTAGCAAAGCCACACAGGAAAATGCCAGTTTCCTAGCTACCAGCATTGCCAGAAAGAGCAATTTAACAGGATTTCTTAGCCCTTCAAGGCAGTATCTTTGTCTAACTTCACTTTTTTCCTCAACATAGAAAAGTTAGAAATTCAAGGTAGCAACAGCACAGTGCCTGTGGTAGACAGTGACATGTATATTTGTATACTTTTCTGTCTAATGACTTTGGAGAACAGTGTGGGAAGAGAAAAAGAGTAGAGGCGGGAACAGGAATCTCTGACACAATGACCTAAGGGCTTTAGAAGTCAGTGAAAAAGCTAAGGACAGGAGTGCACATGGTGATTAATCGAACATTGCATGAATAGGCTGCTACCTTTTTCCATGTGGCATGGAGATGGATGCAGACCATGTCATGAAAAGGGGAAAAAAATGAAGCTTACAGTCATTATCAGCTCTATGTGTTCTTTACTTATCCATCAACAGGAGAGAAAGCAACAGCAGACTTTTAGGTATGATATCTATTTCCTCTTGAACTAGATCTACCAGCAGATACTGCACAAGAGACCATAACAGAAGTCAAGTGATTGCTGTGAAAACTAATTGCTGTATCTCTGGATGACTAAAACATTTTAAAATCCCTTTCTTAAAGCACTGTGATGCATATGTATCATACACACAAGCAATCCTTTATATCTACACTGCTATAGTACAAGTGTAGTTTTATAATAATCTATCTTGGAATTTAAAATACTTGCACTGGAACTGTTAAGCATCTGGTAGCAATGCAGATTACACATTTTTTTAAATGTTTCCCCTATTAACAATGGTTATTTGGGGAGGTTAAATGATTGCTTTAAATAAATGTGTTCCTAACCTAACACTAAAGCTGTGATTCAAATGATCAAGTAGCAATTTTCAAAATCAGAATTTGTTATGAGTTTGATTTCATTATTAGGTTTACATCATCTTTAAGTAAACAGTATAAATAAAGAGGGCAAGCACACACTGAAGTACCATAATCTAACTCGTAATTTTCTCTTCCATTTCTACAATGAAGAAGGTTAAGAGTAAGCTACCTCATAGCTCTCTCAAGCACCCTCCCCAGCATGCTAGTGAGGACTAAAATCTAAAGTTTTTTAACTCAAAGCAATAGTTTCAAACTTTTTTTGCCACCATTCTGCTGAAAATGCATTTTAAACCTATCCTTACACATCTATCTCAAATTCTGTCACTAGGAAGGATGTGACTAATGACCCCCTGGATATAATGGAAACTCAGCAACAAAAGAACCAGTTTCTATCACACTGTAAAACTGAATCCAGGCATAATTAAATCACAAGTCTATCTTGTTATAAGGTTATAGTCATTATAACACTGGTTAGTTATTCATGCACAGTGCATCTCAATGTACAAAGGCACTTATTACTCATGCATATTTATTGCACAAACAGGTGAGTGGGTACATGCAAATTAACATGCAGAATTGCACATTATACACTTCCCTGCTTCCACTGTTTCTGGTTATTTAGTAAGACATTCCTAGTGACATCTCAATGCTGATGCAAGAAGGAAGTTTTGAATGACAAAACCCTCCTAGTACTTTTATTACAGCTGGTTTAACACAGTAGCTGCCAATATGGAAAAACTTAAATCCAATAAACTATTTTTGAAATATAACATTTACGTAGACCTCTCCATTCTTCATTTTTATAGCTGTGATGTTTCAAAGTATCTTGCTGAGCAAAAATAGATCTCAGGTAAAATTCTCAGAAGTATCTATAGTTCCACTGGCTTTAATAAGATGTATGTTCTTTGGTATCACAAGTGCTTTTGAAAATACTGCCTTTCAACTTTCTTTTGAATACTATCCTTATTTGAAATAAACTCTGGAAAATTATATCCCAGTAGTTTTCCAAGCTTTATCTATCATTGACAACCCTTAAAAAACCCCTTGCCAAATGTCTTAGCATTTCAGGTCAATCCCTTAGTGTCTCCACCCTAGAGACAGACTACACTGAAGCTGCTCTCAGAAGGTCCAACCTTGTTTCGGTGAAACTTTGCACGGTTACCACGGATTTTGCTCTGAAGCAGAGCAGGCTTCAGGGAGGTTTCTAAAGTCTCTTGCAAAGACAGCAGGGGGAGGCCAATATCAGTTCACAGAGCATGATGATAAAAGGCTTTTCGCTGCTTCACAGAAATTTCAAAAGACCAGTAAAGTATAATTTATCATGTCCCACATCCCTATTAAGGTGGTAGTGTTTCTGACCATAGAAAACTCTCAATTATTCTTTTATTTTTACCATCTGTTGCTACAGCATAGGTATAAGAAAGTTATTTGGGAAAAAAAATTAAAAAGCACAAACATTTATGAGCAGGCAATAATTTTTGATCTCCAACTCATAACTAATTAATACAATGTTTGTTTTAAAATAGAAAAATAATGGCTAGACAGATTGAACAAATATTGTAGTTTTGAGAGACTTCAGGTACAGTAAAATTACAAGAAAAACATTCCTTAATATGCTAATGAACAAGAAAAAACTGTAAGAAGAAAGTAACACTGTCAACTACAGGGGGTGGATCTGGTATGAGATTGCAAAGAAATGGGCAAATAATGAAAAGGCACCTGATGGTTGCAAAGCAAATATTTAAATTCTATCCAGCAACACAATACTTGCCTTAAAATACGTAGGCTTTCAGTTTTTCTGGCATGTGAGAGAAGTTGCTTTGTTCACATTTTTAAACTAAGATTGCAAAATACCAGCCAATTATTTTGTCTGTGCGATTCAACGTAAGAGAAGGGTAAAGATAACCTCTGAATTTTATTTAAGGCCTTTTTTTTTTATTTACTCAAGCCAGTAAATAATAAAAATTAAAAAAAAAACCACCCTGGTCCACAATGTGAGACTGCCTTTGCAGAAATAAGGAGCCTGTGAAGATTGCATACCATAATTCCCTCTAATTTTGAAAATGATCACTGCTGAATGTTTTCTGAGGGTAAAAGTGTAATCAGTTATAGATCAATACGTAATTTCACTCAAAAGGAACTCAACTGTTCCCTAAAAGTAGAGATGTTCTCAAATAAAAATCAAATGAACACATTAACAAAGTTCAGACTAATCTAAACAACAAAGTTTTATACTACCTTATTTATGTTTTATAATACCTTGGTTATATTTATTTCTGATGTCATAAAACTCCTTATGTTTTCAATTTTGATGGCTATTTATTTGTTTTAAGGCAGTTGAAATTATTTTTTTAGACTTCTTAGTGTGATAGTCTTGCTTTCTGCTTAAGACTTATCGTCACAAAAGAATGGTGAAATTGGAAGATAAATTCTAATATTAGAATTTATCTAATAAGCACAGTCAAAAGTGTAATTCCCCCAGCAGATTCCAGATTAAAACTCTCAGGATTAACATACCTTCCTTTGGCGCCGCTAAATCCTTTTCTATGTAATTAGATTGTAGTAAAGTGCTCCATCTGTACACGTATCCCAGTATGATTTTTAATTGAAAAGCCATGTAAAGTAGCATTGTATCAAATAAAAGGCATTTTGAGTACATCTGAGACCCTGTACAGAATCACATGCTATAAGCCATTATCATTTAGTTCACTACTGACCCCGAAAGGCTCATTAACAAACCGCTACATTTGCATTAAAAATAAAATAAATTTAAAAGTCACAAATATAAAACAATCAAGACAGGAAGAAATCTCATGCACTTGTCATAATACTTACGATGTGCAGCTCTAGATAATCTCCGAGCCCAGTAGAACTGTCCACTCTTACTAACACGGCCTCTTTTTGAACAGTACTAAACCCTATTGCCAGTCTGTCCGCGCGAGTGCTTGGCCGATCGTTAGGGGGCCACGTGTAAGTGATTTGTCCACCACCTTTGCTAAAGATATATGTTGTTCCCGCTGCAAAAAAAAAAAAAAGAAATGAATATAGTTAGCTCGCTTGCACCAATGAGAACCCACATGGAAATCATATGCTCTGCAAAAGTCAGGATCTTCTCACACAGCAAATGGATTCATAGAAATGAAGAGGGCTGTATTTCAACATGAAGAGGTCTTTATCTCTGAAAATTTTGCAGCAAGCAAAATATTAGTGTTTTTTATATAGTGCAATCAACACAGAATATAACTTAGTTGCAAACGAAACAACTTAAAATACCATAGCTCTGCTTCAGAAATGCATATCTATTCAAGAGAATTCTTAAGCATATGCTTGATGAACATGTTTCTGTGATGTATAGAACATGGATGAGCTGAACCAAATTCTTTCCCAAACTGGGCGTAGGTAGAAAAATCAAGCAATTCTATTTACCTCATGACTGACAAAAAAATGCAGCTACTTATTTGCACAATGAAAATGACACATTATCGTGCCCAGCAAAGCAAGATGTTAGCAAATACATTCACATAAGATTTTACAGATCTAAGGTTTATCATCTTGTGACAGATGGGGATAACAAAAGGAAACAAACTTTACTTGTCATGTCAGGACAAAAAGACATCAGTCTACCATCTGAGTTAGCAATGGCTTATTCACATAATGCTCAATGTATATCTTTTAAAAGTGGAAATCTTTACACATTATATGCAGGGTGCACTTACAAAATCTATAATCTGTTTTAACCAAGTGTTTAAACCACTTAGCACTCAGATACTTAACTTTATATTTCCTCTGAACTAAAATAGCAGCATATCCGGACATTTTCCAGATTAAAAGTTGTATCTTAACAACACCATATAACAGGCAAGTTATGCATGCACTTGATCTTTCATTTGAAAAGTCACTACAAGCTGGCCACTTCTTTTCTATGAAGGTAGATCAAAGCTTAGGGAGATAGGTCAACGCATTGTAAATACAGATGTCTAATTTTATTCTCTGTCCTACACTGTCTCAGTGTGTGGCTATTTGCAATTTTATTACATTTTACCTATTTTTTATTAAATCTTATCTATTTTACTAAACAGATAGTGATAGGACAAGTGGAAATGTTTTTAAACTAAAAGAGATTTAGATTAGTTACCAGGAAGAAATTCTTTTCTCAGAGGGTAGTGAGACACTGGAACAGGTTGTCCAGAGCAGTTGTGGATTCCACATCTCTGGAAGGCCAGGTTGCATGGAGCTTTGAGAAATCTGATCTAGTGGGTGACATCCCTGCCCATGGAGAGGGTTTGGAACTAGATCATTTTTTAATGTCCCTTTCAACTGAAACCATCCTATGATTCTACGAAATGCAATTCAGATTATTCCACTCAATGCTCTCACTACATACTTCCCATGCCCATGTGAGGAGATAGTGCATAACAACATAACTGTAATTTTCTGACTTTCCTTCAAGATTGACCCAAAATGCTGTGAACAGATAAAGGGATCTAAAATTCCTTAAATGTGTGGAGTTTTAAAGCCAAAGCCAAGAAAGACTTTATAGTTACACTACTTGTGCAACTCCCAGATGTCTCCAAAATCTTATTTTACTGCACAGCAAGGCTGTTTTGTGTCAGTCTCAAAGCAAAAAGGACACACGGCCTTTTTGAAAAGATACCCTATATGTATTTCTAATATCACTGTTCCTTTATGGAATTACGTACCTACTCGTTAGTTTTTTCCAGTGTCACCACTTTGGAATATTTCTGCACTGTGCATAGCACCTAAAACACTGTAAAACTCATTTTATATCAACACACTTGTGTGATTGCACTGTGCTTGAAATAGATCTCTTGGCTTCTCCCTTGATGCCAAAATACCAACCTGCATATGTTTTAGGAAAACTTGTCGATATTCTTCAGCAAAGACAAACACAATCACTGGTCTGATATCTAAGTTTTCACTTTCACTCTGAGTGAATTCAGGTTTATCACTATTATAAAGAGTTGTTTATGAGTAGTGAAGATTGGGGCTGTGCTAGGATTGTAATGGACATGAGCAAATGGTGTCTGGTTTAGGAATGTGTGAGACAACACCTCATCTCCCTGCTCTCCCATCCTTGCTTTCCTCCTATGTGGTGCCCTGAAATGCACAATAACCTGTCGTGTGCCGTTCAGTAATGACAGCTGAATCTCCAGTTACAATACATCCAAAAAAAAAGTCACATGAGACAGGGGATGGACCATCAGTGTTGATGGTCCCCAAGTTCTCCTCTTTGCTGCTTACTGTTGACTTCAAATCTTGAACTGAGGAGTTTGAACCTTCATACCGTATATGTCACAGTGGTGTCTGCAGTGAAAAGATTTGTTCTGTGTTGATGAAAAACTGAGGGTTTGATGCAAAGCTCATTAAAAACACTGACAGCCTTGCTGTTGACTTCATAAAACATTGTGTCAGGTCATGAATGAGGTTCTTACAAGTAACAAAAATGAGAAGGCTAAGAAAAAAACAACTCCTTACACCTCAATGTCGCAGATGAAACTGTTAGAATAGTACATAAGATTTAAGCGGCAGTGCATAATTCTCCTTTTCTTGGTTGTAACAGATGTGTTTACCCAATTAAGAAGACAAAGAAAAAGCCTGCCAAGCAATGGTGGAGTCATACCGAATACAATGACCCAGAAGTAAGTCTTCAGATCTGAACAATGAGAGACTCTGCTGTTCTCACTCAAGAGAGAATCTTTGTCACATTTTTTTGCTAAATACTGCCCTTCAAATAAACCAGCGAAGAGCAATTCATTCCATACTGCTGCTGCATTGAAGCCAAGGTCAATGTCAGTAGAGCTGGATAAATCTAGCTGTAAATCTTAAACTACATAGAAAAAACATCAAAGTTAAAAAACTTATCTTTTATCCATGAAAACATGTGGCTTATTTTTTTTACGACAAAGCTTTCCCTCCTTTATAACTGTCCATTTTGTAGCTCTTCAAACTAACTGAGTGTCTGGTAAAAGACTAATTAATCCATGCTGATGAATACAGATCTGCCTCTGTCTGAGCTGCACAGGGAGTCACGTTCTTCGAATTTCCTGTATTAATTATGAAAAAAATGGGTCGGAAGCCATCTGAGAATAGATCCTCTAGTGTTTATATTTCAAGAAAGACAAATATAATAATGTAAAATTTATTACTCTGGGATTGATCTCAGTTTATAGTTCGACCTCCCATTAACTATTAAAAGCTAGAAACCGAGCAGTTGTTGGAAACAACCCTGCTTACTCTCAGTTTTGGATATGTTAGGAAACAACAGAGGAAGCCTAATTCACTTGCTCCATAAAGGCTTTTTATGCTCTCTGACAAACCTTATAATGTCTCTGCCGTTCTTTCAGAACACTGTCACGAAAAGCCAGTCATCTTCCTTCTCTCTCTTAGCTTGTGGCACTGTGTTGTTTAGGGTTTATCATCTCCAGAGAATTGAAAGCAGCGGAATTATAATGTCAAGAATAGCAATGCCATCAGCACAGTACTTGTAAGTAGGCAACTTTGTAACATGCCAGTTATATCTCTCAGCCACAGAATTTACTGCATAATTCTTTATGTGTCCATGCATCTAGACAATGTTTAGGAAAAATGTCCATACGGGTCTTTGAAATTCTTACCCATGAAAGCATAATTCCTATTGTAACAAACTGCCAGTGGTCAAGTTACAGTAATGGTTTTTAATGGCCTGGGTCTCTCAAGTCCTACTTGTTTGCAAAATTCATCTTTATGAAATAGCGCATTCATTTGAGCATGGTCTGGCAGCAACTCAAGGACATCTGCTTACCTATACAGTATTAAGCAGATAAATATTTTGTTTAGTACCCATTTACTGTATCTATTACTGTTTATGACTGCAAAGCTTTTCAATATTTATTGGTCTGAAGTCACATTTTATGTAGTTTAATAGTTTGCTCAAATCAACCACAAATCAACAGCCTTCTACCTTCCTTATGTTCATTCCAATTTTGAGTTTAGGTATATTGCACTGAAGGGTAATGTACGTAATTCCATTTTCCTCATATAATGTTAGTAACTTCATGTTTATTTTCAACATTCACGTCAGGTTTCAGATGCTGATTAAGTGGATGCAATGGTTCGATTGAGCTCTGGACCCCAGTAAACTATGATTCCATCACACTCTGTGATTCAAAAACTGAAGACTGAAACCTGTAAAGTTCGGTAATGAAAACTATTAGCTGCACTTTAATTAGTAGTAATTTTGAACTATTATAAAAAATATGAAGGGTAAGCATTTCTACTTATAACAAGAAATTACCCAATAATGTAATTTTCTTTCTTTCTGTATCTTATCAGTACTTTATTCTGGGCTACAATGTGAACCCACATATTCCCACTGGTAAGCAATTACTTGCATTGATAAACCTGTTGAATCCAGTGAGACTATTTTTGCAAGCTACTATTAATTACCAAGACTGAAGAATTTACAATATGAAAAAGAATATATATATATACATGATGTTCCAAATATCTATATGATATATCTATATATCACATTTACTATGTTTGGAAGAGCATATAAATCTCCATTAATACTTCTTTTTACATATCCATCTATGTATTTTCATCCTGCCGAAGCTGAAGTTCAAAAAAGTACATAAAAAGAAGGTTTGTGCAGATTTTCTAAGGTAAGTAAAGAAAGGAATGCTTCAAGACAGAAATATGATCTCCCAGGAGGAGAGATGCGGGTGTTTCAAAACAACCCATTTGGTGGAATAAAATACAAACCTTCTGTATTTTTTTTTTCTTAGACTGTGCTGTGTTATTAATTATTTACACAGAACAGAGAATATATGCCACAGGGTTGAGGTGAGGAGGGAACGGCCATTAGGGTTAACCATGGGAAGGAGATGGAAAGAGCTGCTGGAAGAAGTATTACAAACTAAAGACCAGATTCAACTGAATGCTTCCTGAAGGCATTCTGGTACACTCTCGCCCACAAGTCTGGGCAGGAGGTGAATATGGATTGTAATTGCTTTCC